GGGCCAGTGCAGGATTGGTATTAAAGGATTTCCAGGGCTGGGGTGCGGGGGATGTTATCCTGTCTGGCTATACACTGGTGTCTGGCTGGCCCAGGCAGAGCTCTGGGGTTTGGAGTCTACCATTTGTTTATTTAAAATATTTTTATCCCACCTCTCTATTTAAAATATTTGAAGTGGCTTACAAAATTTTCAAACACAATAAAACCTACTAAGACATACTGAGAGGAGGGGTGCACACACACAAACTCCAGCATCAACAAAAGCCCGGGTACAAAGGGTAAATTTAGCCCGGTGCTGAAACAATGCCAGTGTCGGTGCCAGGCGACTGTCCTGGGGAGGGAGCTCCATCGCCTGGGAGCAAAAGCTGTGCAGGCCCTGCTCCGCATAGATGTCAGCCGTATCTCCATAACTGGAGGAACACTGAGCAGAGCCTCCCCAGCTGACGCTAATCCCCACACAGGTTTATACGGGAGGAGACAGTCCTTCAGGTACATCGGTTCCAAACCGTTTAGGGCTTGATAGGCCAGGATCTTGAATTGTGCCTGGAAACCTACCAGAAGCCAGTGCATGATGTGCTCCATATAGCAAGTGTTAGTTAAAACTCAAGCAGCCACATTCTGGATCAGTTGAAGCTTCCAAAGTCTCTTCTTCAAAGGCAGCCCCATGTAGAGCACATTGCAATAGTCCAATTGGAAAGTGACAAGAGCATGAATCGCTGTGACCAGGTCATTGTAACTCAGAAAGGGTCACGGCTGGTGGATCCGTTGAAGCACTGCTGGCCACCAGGAAATCCGATTCTCAAATGTTAGCAAGGGTCCAGGAAGGCACCCAAGCTGCGTACCTGTTCCTTCAGGGGGTGGGCAACCCTGTGCAGAACAGGTAACACCCCACACAATATAAAGATTAATGTGGGTTCTAGGCTGTAAGTACAGGAGGAGACTGGCAGGGTGTTCTATTCCTGCCGCTGCCTTGCCCCTTGAGCACATCACTTACCTCTCTACCTCAGTTTCCCTAGAAGGGAGCACTATTTAGTCCTGGCCCAGGGAGGCCCTGAGGTTTAACCTACCAACATGTGGTGAGCCTTGAGTGTAAAGGGCCCAGCACACACTCAAGGCCAATCAGAGGGGTACCACATGAACCATTTGGCCTGGGCTTCAAGCTCAAAAGGAGCCTCAGATTTAGACACCTGTTAATTTTGGGGCATTTGATACGTTTAGTGACTTGTTTTGATGCACCTCCCCCTCGGACCAAAGTGAGACGCTCAGGCTAGAAAAGCATTTGCTCAGTAAAAAAGAAACGTTCCAATTCTGCCTCTTTTTTGGTGCCTTGTTTTGTTTTCATTTTTTATTATGGCGGGGGCTTCAAAAGCTGGGAATGGCCCAGGTCTCCAAGAGGGACAACCACTTGCACAACCACCAAAGCTGGGACCAGAGCCTGTTACAGGCAGCGGCTGTGATGGGTCCATGCAAAATGGAAAAATGCCTCTCTCCTCTGCTGATCAACGTCGTTAGCTTCCTTGTGAAGCTTTAAACATCCTCCCATCTGCACCAGCAGGAACAAACACTCCCCCAGCAGCGCTAGGGAGCAGTGACTGTCAGCCACTAAGCCTTTCCCTTCGCCCACCTGGCTCTAGCTCCTTGGCTACAGCTGTGGATTTGCCTCAGTGCCAGGCACTGACGACTAGAGAATTGTCCCTGGGCAGCCCCAAGGCAGGCTGTGATTTCTGACCATTGTACCTGCGCTAAGCTAAGGTATTTATACTCCCACCCCCCATGAGGTAGGGCAATACTCTTTTCCCATTTCCAGCTGGGCAACTGAGGCAGAGAGCCTGACCCGCAGAGATATTTATGGGCCTTGCTGCCCAGTGCACTTCTCAGGCCTGAGCTAGGCACCCAAGCTCCCTGTACAATGCCTGGTCTACACCCACGAGGCAGGATTAGGCCCAGATTCTCAGCCCCTTCTTGGCACCTAAGCCAGATCAGCTTTTTCTTGTTCTTAGGCAGCACAGGAACTGGAGCCCACATCTCTGGGGATTGCCCTAATGACCTCAGCATGTGCCCCAACCAGCTCACCTTCACCTTTTGAGATGTCTCAGCAGGCCCAGTGAGATGAGGCAGCTTTGCATATACCAACCACCGCAAATGCAGACACCTTCGTGGTTAGGCAACAGCTGTGGGACAGTTTTGTGGAGGTCAGTGATCCACTCACACTGGACTTATGCACCTCTGTCCCTTTCTAAGCGACTTACACAAGGTCTCAGGAGAAGACTGTGGCAGAGCAGGGACTTGGACACAGACTTTCCAAGTCCTACGCTGGTGCCCTCCTCACCAGCCCACCCTTCCTCTCTCTGCAAGCAAATGGTGAAACACGCCAGCCTCCCCAAGAGAGGAGAGAAGGAGGCTTGCCCAACAAACAAATCTCAAAACACTTGACTTTCATCAGACACTGATGGGTTTATTTAGTTATTGCTCTACAGAAATAAACCAGGAGGCTTAGACACAAATGATGGCTTCAAAAAGAATCATCTTCAATAAATAAAAGGTAGGGGCGAAGGCGGGGATGCTGCCAGCAGTGGGGGAGAGGCATGTATAAACACGGTTAAAAAGCAGATCCCTGCACTGCCCTCATAAATAACAGAACATGTGATGTACAAAACTGAACAGCTAACACACAGTGACTAACACTACACAACAGAACGTCCCCTACTGTAAACAATGGGATAACACCCCCGGAAGGCTGGGGCGAGGCATGCCAGCCATGGGGCCACATGCTGGGCTAGGACAGAGACGCTGGCCCCGGATCTTGTGTCATGTTAGCACATGACGGTAGCGCTGCAACATGCATGCCTAAGCATCCCCCCACCGGAGAGGAGGCAGCTCCTGGGGGCCTGGGTTACCTGAGCTAAGATTGGCAAGCCAGAGGGGGGGTCTCCCCCACTTCATTTCTGAAGGTCTCAGTCTAGTTTGACCAAGTGAATGCTACGGGGCGGTCATGTTACTGCATCACTGCGGTACGCTAGAGGGATGGGCCAGCACGCCGCTATGCCCAGCTGTGATGCTGCAGTGTTACCAGGGCCAGGACTGGAAGATGCTGTTGGAGTTAGTGGGCCGAGGGTGGGTTTGCTGGTTAAGTACCCCCCACATATTGGTCGTTGCGCAAAGAACGGGCCCTGCCATTAGGCCTGGTCAGAGGAGAGTTCTGAATGGGATCTAAGTGGGCTGGAGTGAAACAGCAGCAGCCCTGAGAGATCCCGCATGATGCCTGCTCCGACCTGGGGAGCCATCTCCATGGGAGAACAGAGCATGGAGCAGGGGTGGGTTGACCCAAGGGTTTTCAGTAGCCAGGGAGCCCCTTGGATAGTCCAAGGCTTCACCGATGCTAGAGCCAGACTGGCTCATTGATCTGGCTGCCTAGAGCCCCATGGCCATGAGAATGAGTGGCTGAAATCCTCATCCAGTGGGGAAGGCCGGATGCCATTAGAGGGTTGGCTGGGAAAACTTGCCCCCCCCCTTTTTCTAAAGAGAGTGGTGGATTGCCCCAGGGCAGCGTAGGCAGAATGCCCAGCACTTTCCCCCATGGGCGCTGGGGATAGCCAAATGCCCGGCTCTCTCTCAATCACTGCTCGATGTTTTTTAAAATCAGGACGTTGCCCTTAAGAGCAACTATTTCCCTTCTTTAGGGGGGTAACTGCCCCCAGCAGAACCTTGTGCCCTTGACTGACGGAGCCGTTGCTCTCTGCTGACACGGAGGGGCTCCAGAGAATAGAAGACATCACTCAAACTGGACTGTAACCCTGTGCTGAGAATTTGGGGGAGAGGGGATGGAATTCCCAGCAACCTCGGCCTCACATTCAGGCTGAGCATCCTGAACAGAGATCTGGCTGGGGCCTAAGTCAGCTCCTACTGCGGCAAACACAACATTAGCCACTGACTCTGGCCTAAGCTGGGGCAGCCCCTTAGTGCTGGGCATCAGGCAGAACCCAGCTCAGACACTGACCACACTCTCACAACCCAGAGCTCTTCCTGCTACGGCCAAAGATCCAAAATTAAAGAGTGTCTTTCAAACCCAAAGCAGAGAAGCCCCCAGCTTCTGAACCCATCAAGGCAGCTTCCTGCTTAAAAAGCCAGCCCCACACAAACAAAAATACTCTTGAGCGGTGCCTAATAGAGCATCAATCAGTGAGCATGATCCCTGCTTCCCGTGCGGGCAGGAACAACGGAGGAAATGTATATTGGGTGGGTTACTCCCCTGCAACTTGTGTGTGTCTCTTTAAAGCGCCATTAGTAGTTACAACTCCACTAGCCCTGCTAGGGAGTAACTGGATGCCTGCAATGGACCGTAAAGCTCCCAAAAGCAGGAGAGAGGCTTAAAAATTATGAATTTTCTTTTGAAGAAAAAGCCTAAAATGTGGGTTCATTTCATTTCATTTCTAGTTTGAGCCCTTAAGGTGCATTGGGGGTCACATTTTCGAGCTTCTCTCTGCAACGCAGACAGCTAGAAATGAAGGGCAGGGCAAGGAAGGGGATTAACAAAAGCTCAGAGCGTCTTCCAATCACGTGGCTCCAGGAGCTGGAGCTTTAAGAAGAACACCAGCTATGGCGAGACATGATGAAAGTCACATGGCAACAGCTGTGCTGTGAGTGCGCTGACAGTCACCACCGGGACATGAAAGTAGCCAGAGCTTTGGTCACAAGCTAGAAATGAAGGGCAGGGCAAGGAAGGGGATTAACAAAAGCTCAGAGCGTCTTCCAATCACGTGGCTCCAGGAGCTGGAGCTTTAAGAAGAACACCAGCTATGGCGAGACATGATGAAAGTCACATGGCAACAGCTGTGCTGTGAGTGCGCTGACAGTCACCACCGGGACATGAAAGTAGCCAGAGCTTTGGTCACACTAGACTGGACTGTCTGCAGCCAGAGAGTTTCCCCGCCACCCAGCCTGGAT